TCGGTTCCCCAGAAAATAGAAACGATCACCGCTCGAAGTGCACACCATAACTCTCTAATGGTAACAATCAATCACAGCTTGGTAAGAACACAACGAGTCTATGCCTAAAATGACATCAAAACTTGACATATCTAGCAACACAAAAGCAAATGGAAGTCGACGCCCGACAACTTCTATTTCACAATCATGACAATCCCGGTCTAAATCAACTGTACCCCTAACAGGTGACTCTACTCTGAGTGAAGACACTAACTGTGTTACTTCTAACCCCAATTCAAAAGCAAATGCAGTAGATCTAAATGAATTAGACGCACATGTGTTTATCAACACATTAGGCAAAGAATTACACATAACAAAAGTACTTCTCACAACTGATGATTCTGGCAACTGCTCTAGCACGGTAGCAGCATACATGCGTCCCTGTGGCCCCTGATTAACTTGCTCCCCTCTCGAAGCATAGGCTTGTTATACTGACTGAGCCGAAGCGGCTCCCTGATTTGCTCGTGAAGCCTGAGCTGAATGAGCCTGCTGGTGGCTCTGAGTCTGCTTCAACCCTGATGCGCCAGATGTGCCTTCCAACTGAGGGCAAGTTCTTTTCATATGCCCCAGCTAACCACACTGATAACAATTAAATCCTTGGCCTTTATTCTGAGACTGAGACTGACTTTGAAATTGGTTAGGTGGTGGTAACATCAATTGTCCTCCATTCTTCTGTGGACATGAAAAGGCTTTGTGGCCCAGTTGGCCACACTTGAAACACGAGAAGCCATTCGACGCACTTTTTCCCGGACCCGCACTAGGCAAAGAAAAAGTGGATCTAGACTGCTGTGGTTGGGACTGGGGTGGATAGGTGTTCCTGCTCTTCTTGTACTGCTTATAGTCTCCTTGAGACTCCTGGCCTCTAGACTTCGAACTCCGAAGCTTCTCCTCCTCTGCTTGTATGGAAATTTCTACGTATGCCTCCATCTCCACAAGACGGTCATATTCCCGACAAGCTTGAAGAAGATCTTAGTTTTCAACTTCTTTTCAAATTCTATACAATGGCGTTCTTCCATTGCCACCAACTCTGGTGCAAATCTGGACAAACTAGAGAAGACCGCCTCAAACTCAGCCACGGACATATTGAGTTGTTTGAGGTCTTTAAATTCTTGCCTCAATCTCTCCCTAGCAGTGGGAGGTATGTACTTATCTTGGAAAACAACCACAAAGGCTTCCCATGATGGCTTCACCCTACTCTTGGCATATTTCCACCATTGACCTGCATCTTCTTTAAGGTAGTAACTCGCTAGAGTCACTCTCAACTCGCTATCATCAATGTGAAGCATCTCAAATGTCTTCACTGTTTGTTCGAGCTATCCATCCGCTTTCTTAGGCTCGGGGCCACCATGGAATTCATCTGGTTGGCCCGTAAAAACTCTCTAGTGAGAAAACTCGCCCTTGATTCCAGAATGTTCTCTCGAGCTTGATTCTCTGCTCTCAACAAGTTCATAGACTCCCTCAAAGCCCCCGCTATTTCTCGGGCTAAGGCCCTATTGCGGTTTGACCCGCTTGTCCCACCTGCTCGGCCACATTAGCTTGACTTGCTCGCTCGACCATATTAGCTTGGCCGAACCCTTCTTTTTGTACCAGAAACCTATGGACCGGTACCTCATGCACACCTCGGCAAGCCCTACCACTACGGACTTGACCCCTTCCTGACATCCTAATAAAGGACACAAGAGAAATAATTTAGCACATTAACTCTTATGTGCTTGTAACTTGACTCACACGTTCGACTACAACAATTTCATATATTTCTCTACCATATACACAATTCAATTTCACTCCACATAAGCACTTAGCCATGTAAACACATACGGACTATTCTTTTACGATGAAATCCGTCCTACGAAAAATCAAGAATTCTTAGTAGAACGAGTATTGATCAAGTACCCTTCTAATGAGACCTCAAGGAATTTAGTAGGCGCAAACAACACCCCAAAATCCAATCCCATACCCATTTAGTCACATAAGCATGTTATTACATAGTCACAAAATGCATAACACTTCCTAAGCATGCTAAATGAACCCATTGTGGTTAAACAACCACTTCCACGAGCTCCAAGTATTCAAACCTGGTAACTCTGATACCAAGTAGTAACGCCCCAAATTTCTAGCATAGATGATAATACAACAATCATGGCTCTTTCAAGGAAAATCGAATATAAATCTCCAAACTTACATTACATGATACAATAGTACTTCATGCAACAATACATTAATTCCAACAACAAGTAAATACCTCTCAAGGGTTTACAAGTTTCCAAAGCTTGAGCCTGGTTACATAAAACGGTTATTCAAACCCACACACATACAACCCTTGGCTTACATACAGAGTCACAGCAAAATGAGAGTCTCGTACTCTCAACACACATTTCCTTGCCTTTAGTTAGGCGGCATTACTATATCTTTTTCTGCACAAAATCCCCTGCGGTGAGCATAAAGCCCAGTAGAGAATTCTTAACAAAGTATATACATTTTACACAAGTCTCAAGGGATGAATGCATATGCCATGTCATGCCCTTTTGAAAATAAAACACACCTTCATTTATTTGAAAACCACCATGCTCAATGATGCCATGCAATTTCAACTGTTCCACATTTATCAATTTTGTTCAAGGGGCGGTAAATACAACTCTGGTAATCCGTAGGTACGTGTCTGCAAGTAGCCTATACAAGTACTACCAATTTGTCATTTTTACCAGTATTAATTGGAAGGCTCGACACCTATCCGCACGAGTTTTCGGTCTTTCACCTCGGACACTCAGACCAACTTATCAATTTCATCTACACTACCTTTTAAGACTTACCACCGTATTTACCCCAAAACCATTTCATGGAAACCTGTTCCAACATTCTTTTCTTAATGCAAGGTTTTCAAATCAACGTTCAAAGCTCAACATAATCAAATGAATTAATATGCTCATGAAATGATTAAATGCATTACAACATTTCTTCCATTTTCAATACTTTCGCACAATAATTCCATTGTGAACAAACCTCCCATTTCTATTTTCAAAACAATAATATCACAAGATAAATATATAAACTTTGATTTCGAATCCATCCAAGAAATAACATAATTTCCACATTTAGAGCATTTTCAATAACTTAGTCACTTCAAGACTACAACAACATTTTGAATAACAATTTCCAAAATCAAACTCTTCATATTTCATGAAACTCGTCATTTGTATAAATACAAATCAAGCTTTTCCAACACATTCTTTCGTTTTACCCTCCAACGAAAATATGGCGATTTTATTTGTAAAATCTCGACATCTTGTTAAAACTCAAACTTTTTGGTTTTCTTACCAAAACCAACCATCTTCAAGATATTTGAAGAAATCTCCGCAAAACAACTTCCATCAATCATTATAGTTCAAAACCATAAATTTCTATTTTTCGAAGGAAAAGAAAGTAAATCCACTTTTAACATCACTCATTTTCTTGAATCAAAATCAATTTTCAAAACTAATCAAAGGATGATTTCGAAAATCATCTAAATCTTGCAAAAATATATATATAATTCAAAGAAAATCCCTACCTCCAATTTTGAAGAAGAAATGAAATGAAACCTCAAAATTTACAGTGTCAAAACTCGTTCTCCACCGCATACAACGAAGGCCTCGAGAAGTTATATAACTTTGATGAAGAACGTAGGTCTAACTCTCAACAGATTTGGAGAAATCAAAGAGAGAAGATGACTTCTAGAGAAAGAAGCTCTAGATTTGGAAATTTTGGAGAGTTTTAGAGAAAGAGAGAGGACTGAAAGAATGATATGAAATCTCCCCTTACGGAATGATATAACATGATTCGCTAGAGCGTGGAAAGCCCCGTTCGAGTGTCAAATACACATTCTCAGTACTTTTGCAGACATGTTAAACTTCTGGAACCAAACATTCTTTGCTCGAGCGCATAAACGGCAGCTCGAGCGGACAAGCAATTTCGAATGCATTTTGCATTTTTGCTTCGGGGGCGCTGCCCCGAACTCGCCAAGGGGAGCTGTCCCTTGGGTCTCCGCGAGCTGACCGGGCAGCTCGATCCTCGACCTAGTCAGTGAAGTGGCAAACATGAAAGAATTTACTTCTGATAGAACTCTGTAAGGCACAATTCGGGTTGGATTCGCATCTAAAGGTTTGGAGACACACTACAAGAAATGCCACTTTTGGCGACCAAAATATTGGTCGCCAAAAGCCCCATTTTTGGTCGCCGAAACAATTAGCGACTAAAATATTTTGTCGCCAAACTAGTCGCCTATACCCTGTCGGCGATAGTATTGGCGACTAAACTATTTTTGGTCGCTGAAAGTGAATGTTTTGGCTACTAAACTCTGGTTAGTCGGCAAAGGTTATCTTTTGGCGACTAAAATATTAGTCGCCAAAAGTGAACATTCGGCTACCAAACTCTAAGTAGTCGGGAAAGGGTATACTTTGGCGACTAAATATTTAGTCGCCAAAAGTGTTCAAATAAAATAAATTAAATTTTCAGCGACTAAAACTTTTTGTCGGGAATAAATTTTAGTCACAACATTACTACATTTAGGGACTAAAGAATTTAGTCGCCAAAAATATTATTTTTCATTTTATTAAACTTTTGGCTACTAACCATTTGTTAGCCGAAAGTCTTCATTTATTTTTATCTACTAAATTTTTAGTCACCAAAAATCTTTAGATTTTTTATGGCTACCAAATATTTAGTCACTAAAAATATTGATTTCCTTTTTAGCTACCAATTGGTTAGTCACTAATAAATTCAATTTTTTTTTTCACTACTAAACATTTAAGTTCCAAAAACTTTATTTAGTGTTTTTTTTATTATAATTAATTTATTCACAACCTGTATTTATTTCATGCAACATGCACCCTGTATTTAAACAAAATAATACATATATCTATTTCTATTTCGTTTCAACAATACAAAAATTTGATCTTTTAACATCAAATTCTATACAAATCAAATACAATCCAACCCAAAATAATAATTCCATACAAACACAAAATCATACAAAAAAGATGTCCTCTGTACAAAAAATTCTACATCAAATGTCATTTACAGAATATTTTAAAGGTGTAAAAAATGCAGATTATAAGCAGCAGGGCCTAGGCATCATATAGTTCTCAGCAGCAAGGTCTTGAGAATATTTTAAAGGTGTAAAAACACTAGCCATACAAACGTGGCTCATGAGGCCTTTATTGCACCAGTGTTTTCCATACAAATTAGCACACCACTGTTGAACTGTCATACAGGATACAAAGCAGATTGGCTCATAAGGCCTACAAATTCATGGAACCAAAACAATGATGAAGTAGTTCTAAATTTTGCTAAAGGCAATCTTAACCCGATCAATTGGTTTAGGGTGAGGAAGATAATCAATCTTGGCATCTGGATTTATTAGTTCCCACCTGAAAATTCACCAAAAACCAAAAAGAAAAATGGAAAAACAGAACATAGTTTAGAATTATGCAAATTCCATTGAAGCCCAAATACTTACAAGCCTTCAAGCCATTAAAATTTTCACTTACTTGTAGCCGACAACCAAATGGTGCAGAAAGATTGCAAGTTCAGTCCGAGAGAGCATATTTCCAGCACAACTCCTTGAACCCCCACCAAAAACTTGGAATGTACCAGGTTTTGCCGGTTTCTAGCAAAATAAATATGTTCACATTCAATAGGAATAGCGATCTGAGTAAAATATTTGAAACACTTTTCTTGCCTCTAGGAATTGAGTAATCTACTTTTGGAAGACTATGTACTAACAAAGCAAAGACGTAAAACTTCTGAGATGATAGACAAAAACAAAAGCAATGCCTTATTGCGAGCTTACATTCCATCTATCTGGATTGAAGCACAATGGATCCATGAAGTATTCTGAATTACTGTGATTGTATCGAAACCACAATAACAATTTCCAGCCTTTTGGGATTATGAAACCTGCAAGTCTTCATTATGATCACTAATTCTCAACAATTTCATGTGTTTACAAAATTTAGCGGCATACCTTGAAATTCAACTTCTTCCGTCACCTGAGCGAAAAAGGAAGGGTGAAATGTTTGTGAGTCTCAAAGTTTCTTCCACCACCTATATGAAAGGTGACAAATGCATAAATGATTCAACTTGGGCAACTACACAAAATTATTTGAAGCTGGTTTTTCTTCTATTATTTTCTTCATCTATTATCAAGAAAATGAAAGAAAAAACACAGCACACAGGATACAATAAAACCCATCATTGTTCTTTACTGAGACAGTGACAAGTTCAATCAAACTTGGCAAAAAAAGACCTTGTTTGTGTATTTCATTTCAGAAACATCACTGCCTGTGATAAATTCCCCGTTCTTCTTCCCGCTTACAGCCATATTTTCCTCCTGCCAATCACATTGATAGTACAGATTCCAACTAGGAATTTTCCCCAAATCCCAACAAACTAACTCTGAGAGATGTCTCAAGGGATATACAACAAAACAACAAATATACCATTCAAAGGAAACCGGGGTTTCTTCTTTTTCTTCTTCTTTCCTGACAAAGTAAAAAATTAATTCTTGTAAGAAAAACGATGACATACTCCAATGCATAAGGACCAACTTGTTTCTCTCCATAATAGTCGCCAATTGTCATATGTTTTGCTACTAAAAATTGTTTCAGTCGCCAATTGTAATATCTTTAGCTACTAAATTTTTTTTAGTAGCCAATTCTGGAACCAAACATTCTTTGCTCGAGCGCATAAACGGCAGCTCGAGCGGACAAGCAATTTCGAATGCATTTTGCATTTTTGCTTCGGGGGCGCTGCCCCGAACTCGCCAAGGGGAGCTGTCCCTTGGGCCTCTGCGAGCTGGCCGGGCAGCTCGATCCTCGACCTAGTCAGTGAAGTGGCAAACATAAAAGAATTAACTTCTGATAGAACTCTGTAAGGCACAATTCGGGTTGGATTCGCATCTAAAGGTTTGGAGACATTACCAATTCCAAACACACCACTACAACCCGATAACCAAAATAAGGGAAATACAAGGAAACTAAGATATGTAACACTGAGCCCGGAACACCATAAGAGACGAGTCAAAATCGGGATCGCTACAACTACGGTGGGTCATGATGTTACGATATCACATCTTCAGTTCGCGAACGATACGATTATATTCTGTGAGGCTGACGGTAGTTAAAAGGATTTTGAGGTGCTTCAAATTGGTCTCTGGTTTGAAAATTAATTTTCATAAAAGCTCTATTTGTGGTGTAGGTGTGCCCGAGAATGAGGTGGAGGTGTTTGCATCTAGATTATATTGCAGGTTTTAGAAATTACCACTATCCTATTTTGTGTTGCCATTAGGGGCAATAGGCTTAAGAAGACTTGGAAGCCTATTCCTGATAAATGTAAAGCTAGACTTGCTTCTTGGAAGAGGAAGCTTCTATCTTTTGGAGGAAGGTTAACGCTCATTAAGTCGGTGTTGTTAAGTTTCCTATGTATTATTTATCTCTTTTTAAGATTCCCTCTTCTGTGGCTAAGGCATTTAATATAATTTGAGCAAATTTTCTGGGGGGGTTGATTTGAAGAGGAAGGTTCATCTTGTTAGCTGGGATAAAGTAACTAAAAGTAAAGACAATAGAGGTCTGGTATTAGAAGGGTTCAACAGGTGAATGATTGCCTATTGGCTATATGGTGGTGGCGGTATGGTGCAGAGGATTCATCACTGTGGAAATGTGTAATTTGTAACAGGTATTCATCGAATGATGAGAGGTGGTACCGTTTTCCAAAAGTCTTTGGGTCTTATTAAAACATTTGGGGTGATATTCTCAAGGTTAGTGAATCAATTCTCATCTTTTCAATATTTTTATGGTTAATTCTCAATTGGCTGTGGGAAATGGTAACAGAGTCCACTTTTGGTCTGATAGTTGGGTGGGCAATCTTTCTATTAAGTCTATGTTTCCTAGGTTGTATAGTCTATCATCAGAGAAAGAGATCACTCTGAGAGTGGTGGTAGATAGGAGGGCTGCCCAGTCAGATGGTTTCTTCAGGTTTAGAAGAGCCTTGTTGAGTTGGGAATCAGATGAGTTGATTAGATTGGAGGCCTTTTTGAATTCTGTTGGGGCTAGTTTTTCTGATAGAGCTGATTGTCTACAATGGATGGCAAATTCTTCTGGGTAGTTTTCGATCTTTTCCCGGTATTCATTGTTGATGCCTTTCACTCCTCTTTTGGTTTCTAAGATATTATGGAACAATATATACCCTCCAAAAGTGTAGTTTTTTAGTTGGTTGGCGTGGAAGGGAAGACTTAAGACTTTTTCATTTTTGCAAAGAATTGGGGTTTTGGGTCCTGGGGCATCTGTCCTGTGCATATATTGCAAGATGGAGGTAGAGTCAGTGTCCTATATCTTACTGTGGTGTCCTTTTGCTTGGAGGGTGTGGTCTTGTTTACTGCAATGGTGGGGGCTGCATTGGGTTATACCTCGGAATGTGGAGGAACTTCTTGGCTAGTGGAGTGGTTTTAGGTGGGGTAAATTTGCAAATTTGATTTGGCAGGCTATACCATTGGCTGTATTGTGGTCATTATGGAAGCTCAGGAATGAGGTTGTGTTCCAAAGTAAGCAAGCAAATCTGGTGGAAGTGTGTGATTTGATCAAATTCAGAATTGCCATTTGGGTTAAGGCTCATTCCAGTGATGGGTTTTACTCTGTGCAGGAAATTGTTAATAACGTCCAGCAGCTCAGAGGTCATTCTTAGCTTCTTCGTATTGGATGCTTGTTGGATGTTCTGATGACTGATTATTGTTGGATGGTTGTATCTAGATGCTGGTTCTGCTGTATATTGTTGTCGGTGTTGAAGCTTGAAGGGCAATTTGATTGTTGTTGCTGCTGTCTGTTGTCGCTATGATGCTGGGTGGTTGATTCTGCTTTGATGCTTATTGGAATTTACTGTTAGTGGTAGTAATCTGATGTGGCAAGCAATTTTGGCTCAATGGGTTATATTTTGGAATATTCTCGGTAGCTACTATGGTTGTTGCATTTTTTTGTACTTTGAATTGGATCAGACATTGTATGAGGTGAAGGCTGTTTACTATGGCATTGTGGTGGCAGTGTTCTGGGATGCCATGTGCTGGTTTTGTTACTAGTGTGGGAAGCCCTATGCTGGTGTTTTGTTGTTTTGCACTACTGTTGCTGGTCCTATTGTTGCTGGTTTTTCTTGTTACTGGTGTTTGCTGTCATGTGTAGTAAAAGTGTAATTGGTGCACTCTTCAGTTTGTCAACAGTCCTGACGCTGCTATCTGGTGTTGCTATCTGTTGCTTTTGTGACCTGGTGCTGCTATCTATTGGTGCTGCTTGTTGATATCTTGGGTGTTAAATACTTAGTGCCTTTTCGTGTGGCAAGGAGATAGAGGGTGTATGTCTTAGAAGGTGTTGGTAGAGTCTTCAGGGGTAGGTGTTGGCAGAGTTGGTAGGTTGCTATTGCTGCCAAGTTTTGCTGGTGGTGGAGCTTGTTGTAGGTGTTTTTTGGCGGCCTTTCTAGTTTCCTCTGTTTTCGATTGGTATCTCGCCAATCAGTGGGTTTAGTGCTAACAAATGATTGTGCTTCCTTCTTGATGCCAACATAGTTGGGATTGTGGAGTGATAGATATGATGTTTTTGCACTTCCCTCTTTTATTGATGTGTTTTGTCGAGCACCCAATCGAGCGTGATTTTCACCTATCCAGCACTTTTGATTGTTTTGCATAACGCTCGAGCGGGTAAGTATACGATCGAGCGGAAACCTTTGTCTGTATGTCCGCTCGGGCGGAGTAACCTACGCTCGAGCGTGACCCCTGTTTTCTGAAAAGTCTGAAAATGTTTTTAAAGTGCATCTTTGCATCCTCATCCCATCGTAGGCATTCTTAGGCCTAGTTTAAAACATCTTAATGAGGTTATAGATCTAGAACCACACCAAGACAAATTAGGGATTAAGTTATTATTTTCCCAACTGTGTAGAAGTGTGTTCAATCTGTAACTGTGTAGGGTTGGCGACTGGGGACGCGCTCTAGCTTTACTGTAGCCCAGTACTCTGTGAATAACAACTGTGTAAAGATATGTTCAAAATGATTATCTTCTGAACAATTGAACTGTACTGCTTTCTGAACTGATACTGTTAATTGAATGAATGTATATCCTGTATTCTGAACTGTATTGTGGCATCCTTAGCAACTACTGTTTACTGTTACTGTTATAGAGATCTCTGTCGGTTCCCTCGTTGGAACCACTACTGTTACTGACTGATGGCCATCATTTACTGTTCGGTCTTTTAAGACCTACTGTATACTGTACTGTTATGCTAATGGATGTACCACATATGACTGTACCGACTGAACGACTGAAATACTGAATTAATGAACTGTTTTCATTACTGTAAGGACATTCGTTTTTAACCCCTTTACGCATTGTGTTATTCACTGGGCTTTAGCTCACTGCTTATATATATATGTGGGTGTTCAGGCACCAGACCGCAGCTAGAAGCGTCGGGGTAAGCTCCAGTTTTGTCGAGCCAACCTATGTGCCTCAATGCGAGGTTCCGAGCCTGTCAAGCTACGGCTTAGGGGTGTTTTTAATTTCCCCGTCTGTCTCTGTATCTGTTTTGCATAACTGTATAGACTGTTACTGTACTGTTTAATAGGGATTAGGTCCCTGAACTGAATGATTGTATATATGTACATACTGTTTTGTCTGACTGTATATATTTGAATGAAAAGCCTTTTTACATACAGACTGTCACAGCTCATTGGACATTGTTTATTTACTGTATTGGCTTCCGCTAGCCCCTGTACTCTGTATTGCTGTATTACTGTTAAGCAGGCCTTCGGTAATCTTGGATTACTGGCCGGTTACGGTGCTAAACCCATAGGGACGGGTTTGGGTCGTGACAAAGGCCTTTTGAGGGGGCCTTTCATTGTATGCTTCATTGACCCATTTCAGGGCCAATTTGGTGAGTTTTAGGCTTGTCATATTTGATTTCTAGAGTTGGTTTTGCCATGCTAAGTGTCCTTGTTGTATGTGTTGAGTAACCCCTTGCATGGCCCTCCAAAGAAGCTCATCATTTTTGCATGCATTGGATGCATTTTAGTGGTTATTTGGGGTTTATTTGGCATGAAATACTTCTATTTTTGGCTGGTTGGGTGAGCCCTCATATGCTTCATATAGCTGTAGAACAACTCATGGTTCACTAGCCTATGTTGCATGTTGTTTTGGCCCTTCATGTTGGCACCTTTTGGCCATGCCTTGAACTGATAATGTGCTCATTTTGGACTACCCTAGCTCTGTTTTTGGGTCTTGTGGTTGAATGATGTTAGTTTTGCATGCTTGTAGTTCAATGCACTTGCCTAACTTTGAGGTTTGAGGTCCATTGCATGCATGTGCTGAGGTGTTTTCATGCTTTGGGGTTGTTTTGCATCACATTTCAGAGCTTATGTTAATTC